GCCCACAGTTCTTAAAGTTACCTCTGAACTTCTGGTCTGTGAAATTCTACCCAACGACACTCGAAGTGGATCCAAACAGCGAGGAAACAATTCCCCAAAGAGCTGTATGCGCGACTTCTACTTCTGAGGAAAGCACCATTACTACTGAATTATTGGACTGGAATAGGTATAGCTCCTTCCTCGCCGGTAACCGTATTGCAGCACTTGTTTTACGCTTCATTAAAGGCACTGTTCACGAGAAAATGGTTCCGGAGATTTGCACATGGTTTGAATTCGACGCCCCCTCTGATACCATTTGTGCAGGAATGAGGTCGGAAAACGGCTGGATAGGGCACAATAAGGGGGCGGAGAGTTATCCACGGTCACCCTCCGCCCCTCGCTAGGTAGTCAGAATCTAATTGCCGTTCACCACTTTCGCATTGGAGCGAAGTTGGTGAAAAGTCGATAAGCTGGTTGGCAAATTGCTAGAGACGCAGTGTGTCGTCTGCTATCGCAGACAACACATTGCGTCGCCTTCGTGCACTCGCCCGATCACTCCCTATCCGCCGTTCTTTCAATGTGAAACTCGTCCAACCCCCCTTTCCAGCTTCTTTTTGACCCTTTGTAATTCTTTTTGTTCATCGTTTTTTGCGCTTTTTTCGTTGTTATCGCTTTATTCTAGAGTAGTTCTATCAATTCCCGTCAAAAAATTTGGTTGGGTGGGTGGGGCAATCAGGATTGCCCCACCTACCCAACCAAAGAAGACATTACGTTCATCAGGAAAGATACGAGCAAAGGTCTTGGAAAAGGTTCTGAAGCTTGGATTTTACACGGAATATGGGGACGCCTTAAGTATTCAACGCTGCGTCAAGATACGAAAAACCCGGTCTTTATCATGCCGAACACATTGCTTGCTCACAGACTTATAGAAGAAGCTCATGGAGAATTTCATAAAGGCGTGGAGCATTCGATGGCCACGGTAAGAGAGCGCTATTGGATTTCTAAACAAGTTCGGAAATTGACCACCCACTGCATCTCATGTAGGAAGTTGAACGCCTTACCATACCATTACCCGGACACCCCAGACTTACCGAGTCAAAGGGTTTTGAGAAGCTACCCGTTCCAACACACAGCGTTGGATTTTTCGATCTACCACCTTGCACGGAAAATGGGATTACCCAAAAGATTTATGGGTGCATTTTCACATGCACAGCTACACGTCTCATTCATCTGAAAGTCGTACATAGCATGGCCACAGAAGAATTCTTAAACGCATTCAGACGATTCGTGGCTCGCAGAGGTGTTCCAGAGTCATTAACTTGCGATAATGCACAAACCTTTATTTTGAGTGCGAATATTTTGAATGCTCCACAGGAATTGCATGACGATTTACAACATGTCATGGCTAATATGGAGATAACATGGAATTATATAACACCATATGCGCCTTGGCAAGGTGGGTTCTACGAGCGCCTCATCAAATCCATTAAGCACGCCCTGTACAAGGCATTAACTCCTAGTCGACCGCGCTCACTGATAGTACTCACACTACTATCACCGAAATCGAAGCATGCTTGAATTCCAGACCCCTTACATATCAAGGATCCATACAGGAAGATATGCCTCTGGTACGTCCTACAGATTTCCTACAACGAGATATTGTACTGACGTTCCCCGAAATTGAGACCATTAATAGGGAAAGTGGGCGACATTTTTCTAGTTCACGACCCAGTCCTACTAAGGCACGAATGAAATGGCGCGCATAACGGCCACAAAAGAAGGGCACGATGGAAAAATCCGAGAAGTGGAACTTCAAACCTCTATGAAAAATAAGATTCGCCGTCCCGTAAATCTACCAAGCCCTTTAGAAACTCAGGAAGCGCCAGATAAGTCACCTAGCCCGCATACTGCAGCCAATGAACCAGAGGTCGCGCCCGAGAGTCGCGAATCAAGAAATACCCACCGATATAATTTACGTCAACGTCAACCCAGAAATTATGCTCAGAATAACGCTCACACCTTCACAACCCATGCTAGTGCAAAACCCAAAACCTCAAAGTGGTTCCTTTTCTACATGATTCTTTCCTTATTCCGAACTACGCTGGGCAACTACTTAACGATCATGCAATTATTCTGTACTGAAGAAGGCGTCATTATAAACTCAACTAAACCACAAGTTTTGAAATTTGCGCCGATACGGTCTGCAAAATTGAATATTTCATTGCTAAGCCAAAAATAATATGCTTCCCAGCAGAAGTGACATTGAATGATCACAACGTTATACTCAAATGGCATGTGAATCATGAGCTTGCAGTTATCGAAACACTGTGCGAAGAAATAGATTTTTGCGCAGACATAGATTTGCTAGGCATGCACCTCCACTTTCTTTAATCCAGAATGTCGGCCACTCGGAGCAATTTTCATATTCGTACTAGTACCTTATGGAATCATTGCCCTGCTCTATGCTTCCCTGTACGTACCGATAACTGATGGGAAACCGCTGCACCACCTCCTCATTGGACTTTCATTGCTGCTTAGAAAATTTAATTTACCTCGTGCAGCACGTTTGTCTACGCCTTTTGCGAAAATTCAGGACCCGCTCTCGATCTTCATTGAACGCACGGTTAGCAGCAGCACTTGCCACAGTGATAACATTATTAGCCTGTGCTGCAGGCCCTGCGTTGTCCTGCCAGGAGGTTAACGTATTGCAACAACATGCCACAATCTGTACCAACAATAATATCAATCAATCTTGCTCGGTTAGGCTAACAGAAGTATTAAAACTTAATAGCTTCGCACAACACGCGTGCTTGCGCCTAATCTACAACACTTCTCTCGTCGCAAAAGTCAAGGTTAGATGGATGGGATTGTACGAGGGATGCCTTTTATATTTCGGGATTTGGAAACACTAGTGTAGCAATCTAGCAACTGACACAACTATCGTAAAGTTTGACTATTTTGAGGTTCCGTTGCAAAATTTGAGCGCGATCCGTACTGTTTACACTAAGCTATAAGATTTTGTTTCGACCAAGTTATGGAATTGAACCGTGGGCATTTTAGCGCGACAACTTTCGACGTGGATTAACTCAACAGCAA